TCCAAGTGGGAAGGAGGGACACTGCACAAGTCTTTTAACACATTCCATACGTTCTTTACAAGTTAATAATAATAGTTATATACATATTGATATGGTTTCTTTAAGACTTTGTTAATTATTGTACGACAAATTAAGGACCAAAAAAAAGTATTTGTTCAGTTTGTGATTAATTACAGGAGAGTATAAAATTTAAAAAGCGGCCGACAAATCGACCCGGAGAAATGCATTTAGGCCAAATTATGAATTACTTGAAATTATTTGAAGCATTAATGATGCATATATCAATCAATTATTATTATAAAATAGCACAAAAAAGTCAAAAAAGAAATCAGAAGGAGATTGTAGTTGGGAAATTAATGGAGCGGAAAGTAGAGAAGAAGAACTATTCAACATTTTTTGTTAATTAAAGAGAAAACAACTTGTCACCAATTTTTGAATCTCTTGATACATATTTACATTTACAAGAAGTGGGACACAGACAGACAGAAGAATAAAAAAAATTCGATCACGGACTCATTTAGTAATTGTCTTTATTGAGTGGACTGCATAATAGATCATTCATGTGACACGCATAAGTAAGTTGCATTTATAAGCAGACAAATGATATCGATTTGAGATCTCCAACTCAGTTAGTTGCGGATCCATCAAATAATATTTTGCTAATGGGCCTTATTAATCCGGTTGATGATAAATGGGCCTTCAAATAGAAGCTTCCGAGTGGTATTAATACGTGTGTCTTGTTAACCACAAGCCTGATGCTGACACACACTCACTCTCAACGCGTTTTGGTCCGACTTTTCTGTGGTCCACAAACCTTAGCCTCTAAGACAAATCAACCCATTTTCCAATTTAGGTTTTTTTCTTTTTTTTTTATATATAGTACTAAAAAGAAGAAGAAGAAAATCTATTAACTAGTCACTTTTTTGACAAATTAATACTACAACTAAAAATCACTTTAATATAGACCGCGTCTACAACTTCACTCGTTCAATTTTCTCTTTAATCAAAATTTTCCAACTTACAAATTGTATGTTTACTAGTTTACCTTAATTAACCCACATGGATTCTAATA